GCCTCATTCGAGGCGGTTAACCACTCGGAATTTGGACACCGACCTCATTCGAGGCGGTGAGCCACTCGAAATTTGGTCATCGGCCTTCTTCGAGGTGGCGAACCATTCAGTCACCAGCCTCATTCGAGGCGGTGAACTACTCGGAATTTGGTCACCGTCCTCCTTCGAGGCGGTGAACCACTCGGAATTTGGACACCGACCTCATTTGAGGCGGTGAATTATTGGGCGGTGAACCATTCGAAACTCGGTCACCGACCTCATTCGAGGTGGCAAACCAATAAGTCACCAGCCTCATTCGAGGCGGTTAACCACTCGGAATTTGGACACCGACCTCATTCGAGGCGGTGAGCCACTCGAAATTCGGTCACCGGCCTTCTTCGAGGTGGCGAACCATTCAATCACCAGCCTCATTCGAGGCGGTGAACTACTCGGAATTTGGTCACCGTCCTCCTTCGAGGCGGTGAACCACTCGGAATTTGGACACCGACCTCATTTGAGGCGGTGAATTATTGGAAATTTGGTCATCGGCCTCCTTCGAGGCGGTGAACCATTCGAAACTCGGTCACCGACCTCATTCGAGGTGGCAAACCATTCAGTCACCAGCCTCATTCGAGGAGGTTAACCACTCGGAATTTGGACACCGACCTCATTCGAGGCGGTGAGCCACTCGAAATTCGGTCACCGGCCTTCTTCGAGGTGGCGAACCATTCAATCACCAGCCTCATTCGAGGCGGTGAACTACTCGGAATTTGGTCACCGTCCTCCTTCGAGGCGGTGAACCACTCGGAATTTGGACACCGACCTCATTTGAGGCGGTGAATTATTGGAAATTTGGTCATCGGCCTCCTTCGAGGCGGTGAACCATTCGAAACTCGGTCGCCGACCTCATTCGAGGTGGCAAACCAATCAGTCACCAGCCTCATTCGAGGCGATGAACCATTCGGAATTCGGTCAACAGCCTCATTCGGAGCGGTAAACCATTCGGAATTCGGTCACCGGCCTCCTTCGAGGCGGTGAACCACTCGAAATTTGGTCACCAGCCTCATCCGAGGCGGTGAACCACTCGATTCATGGAAAAAATCTGAATATTAACGAAACCTTTATTGCTTCTTAGATAGAGACGTATAATTGCAAAATAATAATCAATATCAATTAATAAAATTCATATTTTGATCAACGAAACAACATTTGTACAAAAACTACAACTTCTTTGTACAAGTACATACCAAAAAAGACACACTAATCTAGGTCAAATACGTCACTTTTGATTTTGGGATCGCGACTTTGCTTATTTTCTTCTTTTTTGATTCTCTTCTCACAATTTCCTCCATTGCGCGGAGAACTTCACGTTCGAGAGACACTTCTTCTTTCGGCTCATTTGCAGGAGGCTCCGCCGCCCTCGGTCTATTGGTTGGTGGTCTTGGAGGGGGTCTGTATCTGAACAATGGCAGTAAAATTTGACATTGACCTAAACACCAGTTCTTACCGGCGTCTAGGCACAAAATTTTCTACGTCATCCGGCAGCGGACGTGGAGGCGGTCGGAATTTGCAAAAATGAATCTCAATAAAAAAAGACTTTTTTCCTAACCTTTTTCTAGGAGGGCGAGGGACTTCTTCGGGCGCAGGGGGGAGGGGGGCGGTTGTCATCTCCTTTGTTTGCGCTTAGTGTCCTCAATGGACGGTCTTCATCGACGATGAAATGATCACCGTCATTCGTGAGACACGCCATTAATTCACCCATTTTTACTCTGACTTTCGCCATATCTGGAGAAACCCGATGTGGTTTGCCTTGGGGCTACCTGGCGGCGGCGTCTGGGACACAGGTCGGAAAAACCCGGTGTGGTTTGCCTTGGGGCTACCTGTCGGCGGCGTCTGGGACACAGGTCCCGGGCGGGCAAGGGTTGTGGGGTCTCCGTCTTCGAGCACCATCCATCGAGTCGACCGACAATCAAAACCAAACCGAAACGCTGCCCCTCACATCGGAGGCCTTCAAGGCGCGCGGCGTATACTTCACAGGCGTAGTTAGGCTTAGGATATACGTGCAGAGAGACAGACAAACAGAGATATGGATTCTCTGTCTGTCTGTCTGCACGTATGTTGGAATTTTTATTTTTGGGCCAATCCAGACCAAACTTTGTACGCATGCACTTCGGAGAGTGGCCAATGTCGTAGGCCACTTTTCATTATTGATGGATGTCGATTTTATTGATTTCTATCGACTTTTTTGCAGAGTTCACCAACGGGGCTGGGAGTTGGCACAGCGGGGTAAGTGATCATGCTGTTTACAAATACAATATTGGTTTTCAAAATTTTGTATCGATTTTTCTGCAAGTTGATCTTCGGGGCTGGGAGTCAAGGGAGGGGGGTAAGTAGAGAGGCACAAAACGGCGATAGGGGATTGGCAAGTAGATGTAGGCACAGGGAAAGGTTTGTACAGGAACAAGTATAGTGACTTTAGAATAGTGTTTTGACAGGGCCGGGCGGAGCCAGGTAAGCCAGCTAGTGGGTAATATTATATTCGTTATCAGTTTGCCAGATCTTATGTGAATCAAGATTTAGAGAATTCAAACTCACAAATAGGCAGAAAAACAACAAAACTCAGTCTCCTTCACTCAACTTATAAGCTCGCTTGTCCAGTCCGGAAAAGCCAGAAAAATTTTTGTCATCAAACGAAAAATCCAAGATTTTCGACGTCTTTTTCTTTCCCTTGATCTCATTTTCCATTGATAAGGTTCATTGAAAAAAGTGTGACGAAGAAACTAAACATCAAACTTATCTCTTACCAGGTACTGTTGCTGTTCATGCTTGCTTTCTTCCTTTCACCGACTGGTTAAGGCAATTTTTCGATCGATGCAACAAGGCGTTTTCGCCACGGTGTTTGTCGTACATTTACGCCGTGCATCTTTTGAACTTTGAAGTTGATTAAGGTAACAATTAATTTGGTGATAGTGTGTAAACATACGACCCTTCTGCTAACTCCCGGTTTGTCGGTTCAGCTATTCTTTTGCAGTGACGGACCGAAAGGAGAGGGGAGGGGAGGGGGGGGGCATCCCTTCCGAGAGTGCATCGTGATGTTTTTCCAATTCACTTATATGGGTTATAAAAATGTGTGCATGCGTGTGTATGCATGTGTATGCATGTGTATGCTGCATTGTTGCATGAATTTACAAAGAGCAGACGATGCGGAACTGCTACGAATTAGACATTTGTCAAGGTACTAACTTGCCTTTATTTTGAGAGTTCATACGATCAAATAGCCAGTAGATACAACATAATCAGATACTTTGGTTAAGAACGATGAGCGCTCCCGCGTTTGCCTCCTGGACGATGCCTCGGTTCGTGACGGCCTTATACCATAATGTTTCGGGAAGTTTATCCTTCCTCTTCTGGGACGGTAGTTCATTCCGTGCCTCACGCTTTGCACTGTTGGAAAGCGCTTAATAGCGAGTAGTGGAAGTGATTTTGTAGCTGGCCAGACGTGCTGCACATAAAGCAGATAGACGTGAAAGCGAGCAGTTGTTAGGTTGAGTTTGTAGGACGCCATTGTCAGTGGTTGGAAGAGTTTGAATACTAGCACACGGATCGTTTCGAAAAGTTATATATCACATTTTTTCTTTAGAATGACTTCGTACTTGCCTCAATTCTAGTTAATGCTAGTAAAAAGAATAACATTGTTTGATGTCTTTGAGAGGACATTTAGCAAAAAAAAACAAGAAAGATGACCAGCCATGTCAATCAATGATGACAGATAAAAACCATTTAATGTAAATAAACTCGTGGTGTTCTGATCAGTAATGCCTAATTTTGTGAGTTCGTTTTGAACGAGAACACATCAAACGAAACCGCAAACGCTCAGCATTTTTTTTGAATATCCGCGTTTTCACTGTTTGAACATAGCCATCGCTGTAATATGGATACAGTGATAGAGCGGTCGTTTTGTCATGTAAAGAGTAGGATAAGTGACCATTGCACACATATCGTCGATTCGTTTATTGCACGGACTGCTCCAGCGTTGCTGACCACGAGCGGCGCGGCTGAGATGTTGCGAGAACACCACTTGTACAATGGCGAATTTGCACAGAGGACTCAGATAATCGCGGGGGCAGGCGGTTCGCAGACTCGCTCTTTTCTGCAAGCAGTCAGCAAAATATTGGGGCATGGCTAAACCTTCAACGAGCGGCACTTCCGTGTTTTGCCAGCGGGCAGCAATACAGAATTTTCTGTAAGGCTCGTCAATTAATTTCTTTCAGCGAGCGCTGGCCAAAGGCCTAGGCGAGATTGACCCTCTCCAGTGATGCCTGCTCATCCGTGCTCGCCCATTTAACCACAGTCCGGGATGTTCGCCCCGTGGGTTTTCCGGAATGGGCATTGTTGAGATTTTCACTAATTCTCGACTTCATATTCGGAATCAGGGACATGAGAAGGCTCTAGAACGGCAAAAAGATGTGAGTCAAAAATTGTGATGATGCCTTTAACAGCTGCAGAGAGTATGACTTTCAGACAATCGCTGTTATACGGATACGAATAAGAATTTTTGCACTACGCTCTGGAATTTGAAAAAAAAAACTGATCTCGACCTTTTGTAAGGCTCAATTTTTTATTCTTTTAAAATAGCAGCGATATATTTACAAAAAATCAGAGAAATTAACATGCTGCCCGGTTGCACCTCTTTGGTTTCCTAACAACCTGCGAGCGGAGTGCGGAAATTGAACATGCACATTTTCCAGGACCGCTCACCCGCCGACGGTTTGAGGGAGACTTCCAGGGTTTATAAGATACAAGATGAAGATACGCCCTTCCCATGTTTTACCCGTTCATAATACTGCTTTTGCGTTTACGTTGGCTTTTACATTCCGAAATCAATCGAGTCGCTTGAAGTCTTTAGAAATGTATTGCCACGTATTTCCTTTCGTAATCTTCACTTAAACGTCACTTAATGTTTCTAAAAGTATCTAATGCAGCATTATGCATAACGCGCTCAACTATGCACTTGAAAATAGGAAAAAGCATTCTTCTGTCATATCTCACGGCCCTCCTCGTTACCCAGCATATAAAAAGGGTATTTTCATATGATGTTGAGCGAAATGAATTTGACAGCCTACGTCTTCGTTGCAACCATCCTAGTCTCTTCCCTATCTTATGTCGATGGCCGATCGAAAAAAAGTCGGAAAGAGGACGAACTGAATAGAAGTATGTTTCAAAGATTTCTACGGATAACAATTGATAGGTTTGAAAATTTTTCCTCTAGGACCGTGGCTCCACGATTATACAGAGGATTTCCTTGGAATTAGCCTGGATGATTATATGCTAATAGACTCAGCTCGCCTAATCGAAGGACCTAAAGGAGGATACCCTAGGGTTAGGCTTGATTGTTGATAAAGTGAATGCATTTATTGTATGATTGGAACTTATGCAGTCTCTCCACAGCTTTTTAAAGTTTTTTCAAATTTTCTGTGCTATTTTTTTGCTAAAAATTCGTGATTTGAATCGAGTAATTACGATAATTTTGCAGATTGGTCGTGTCCTCGGTATGAACCCTAAGTTGACGAAGAAAGTTAATGCAATCACCTATGCTGAGTTCCGCCTAAGCAAGGAAGCGTTCAACTTCATCCAGAAGGTAGGATGAGAGATTGATTTCTCTGCCGCCTAATTCTGCAATATTTGATCTTATCAAAATAACACTTTCTTGAGAAATCTAGTCACCCTCTTCACTATCAAAGATACAAATCCAACAGCGTTTTTTTTTTCAGATAACCTATGGTTTAGAAAAAGAGCGACTTAAGGGAATATCGCAAGTGAATAAGTGAATCGTTTATTTATCAGCAAAAAATTTTATATCTAAAAAATATCTTTTCAGGGTTTCAAGGGATGTGTCCCGCATGACTTCGAAATCCGGACTTTGTCGTGAGCTTTCCCAATATCTCGAAGGATCGAACTATAAAAGAGGGATAAAATCAATTCTCGGTAAGTTTGAAAGTAAAGGTGAAAGTTCACTTTTACCAAAATCGAAAACTGCTTTTGATCGAACGTTTTTTCCTCGGGCTTATTTGGGCTTATTTACAGAACGAAAGTTGCTTTATAGAATCGGATCGGAGCGATCATATGCGTTATTGCTGAAGCTGTTCTACCCGATCCATGCACGACCGACAAGACCGACATATATGCAAGTTTCCCGTATTACTGGAACCTTCGGTATATAAAACAAAACACTTGCATTTGTATCACGGATGCAATTTCTCGATAAACTCTGATTCTAGGGAAAATTTTATAATCATTGCTTTATAACACAGTTCCACAATAAAACAGTCCTTTACTTCGATATAAGCAAATCTACAAGCTATCTCAACAGCAGTTTCCCCACGATTTTTTCAATTTCTGTGATTCTTGAAGTGCATAAAGTGCGAGATCACGCTCCACGATAACGATTACTCTGATAACTTTGGAGTTAAGTTTTTGCACGTAAGTACTAAACCTACTAAACCGCATTGAATTTTGAAGTCTTTGCGCCCTACAGAGAAAATCATGGAAATTAGAAAAGTTACAGAAGTTATGGGATTATAGAATTACAGGCATAATATGGCTAAAAAGAAAAAGTCAGTGCATCATCGTCGTCAAAAAAAACTAGTGCGATTCGCAAGACCATCTTCCCGGTTGTCGACCCTGCAGGATTTGCTGGGTCTATGCGCTAAAGCAGCTCGGGACCAACGCTTTACGCTCTACTAACTTCTAAATATCCATAAACTTCATCTTTCTTCTACTTGCTAAAAAAATGGTTTTTGAGAAGTTAAATGGAATGGTGAATGTTACGACTTTTCAATCTCAAGATTCCAGTTGCTGCAAGCATATACATAGAAGGAGAATACAAAAGGAGAATTGCTTTGAGAACTGCTTGAGCTTCACACCGAGATCAGTAATTGCTTTATTCAACTGACGTTTCGGCAAAACCGCCTTCTTCAAAGTCTGAAAAAGTCAAACGCACGAGTATTCTATCCCATCAAAAGCCGCATCAGGGCTCAGAAAAGACGTCTAATGCGTCAGTAAACCGAGCTACGAAAGTAAATGCAGAATTTAACCAGTGCTCATCTAAAACAGCTGTTGACTGCTTGGCAGCAGACCGTATACCAGTACTGAGCTAGTAGCTCTAACTTCTATATATACCCAGTGGCTTGGCCTCAAATTGACCTCAGAAGCCGCAAATGGTCTGATAAACATGATCATGTTTGATAACATTTCATAGCAATCGCACATTCACCGAAGGGCTACAAAATCGTTCATGACTGCCGATACTAAACAAATCATTTATGGAAGTCAAAATACATTATTGCAGGTGCTTTGGTAATAAGTGTTCAACATAAAGAATGGAAATTAATGGCGGTAAGACGGTACGGACCGCAGGTTCCATTGACTTAGCTGGACGATTGGTAAGAATATAGATGGTTCATCACAAAAGGACGAACTACAAGAAACTGAGGTGAAAATACAGAGAGTAGGAGAATATGAGTAGCTAGATGTTGAGATACAGAAGAGCTAATAGAGGACATTAAAGATTGGTGAGGAACGAACTACACATCTTGAACTGACGCACGAGGTATGGTGATTCCTACATCGCATGGTTTCGGTTTAAGAGTAATAATGTGACAAGATCTGGGCCGGGCGCATGGATGCTACAGTCGAAGCATTTCATATGATCATGGTGTTAGTGCACGCAATGTCCACCTTTGGCGTCCCCGTAATGGATTCAAGGAGTAGGCACTCCTTCAAGTAAGTGTTTTCGGTGTTTTCTTCATTTTTACCTTACTTTCTAAGTACCAATCTCCACAAACTAATGCGAGGGAAGTAAATGGTCAGTTTCTTACATTTCTGCGATTGTGAATCAGGATGGGGACGCAAAAGGTGGACAGTGTGTGCAGTAACACGCATGATCATATGAAATGATTCGACTGTACATACTCGTCATTCAAGAGAAACAATTCATCATCAATTAGCACAACATTTTTTCTGCTTTCTTATGAGGCGTCCGAAGCAGCGACAGTCAGCTGACAATGGCCGTCTTTGCTGTGGTTATTATCTTCTTTACCTCACGTCAATGTCCAACAAACAATTAAGCTTCAAAAGTGTTTATTGTACAACATAATTAAAATCGGAAATTTTCAGGAAATTTTGGGTTTTTGATTATATGAAGGCTTTCAGTGGATTCATTGAGGATTATGAAGTGGAACCAGCTGCATTGAGCCATACAGTGAAATAAGATTTGGTTGTTAGTGCATTAACACGTTGACGACCGTGTGCGTGCGCGCGTATGCAAGCCCTAACTCCCGTTCAGCACTTCCCTGCATCAGTCATTAGTGTGCAAACGAAAAGTTCTAAGGTGACTTTTATGCAATAATAAACCGGTGGTCTAATGATTATGTAGAACACAGGGCATCGCAGTAGCTGCTCAGGTCTAGAACCTTAACCGCAGATTCGGGTGTTCAGTCCATTTTGTTGTGGTCGAAATGGCTCAGTCGTCACCGTGTTGAAGTTGTGTTCAGGTTAAATCTAACCCCCTCCAATTACTGTCGTTTGTTCCTGAATGTAGACCCCAGAAGAGGGGCATCTTTGGTGTGGTCCTCTAATGTTGTCCCTGAATGGAGATAGTGGGCTTGGAACAGCGAAAGTGCTATCAAACCACACCCAAATCCTATCAAACTCCGCTCAGCCAGGGACTGCCTCCCGACACGTAATGATATGGTAATGAACAGAAGCTGCACGCTGCACACGCACTTATGCACTTGCAGGTCCTCCCCGCCGGCATGCAGGGGAGAAGCAATTCATAACTCGTCCGCTCACTTTAGAGAGGGTCCACAGGAATCGTTTTTTTCTAGGATCTTGGATAATTCGGACTTCATAACCATAACATAAGCAGTGCCACGGAAAAGCCCCAAGAGATGACAAAAACGTGGAAGGCAAGTAGCTGCTTTTTGAATCCACTGCATGGTTTGAACTCCTGCGCATCTTCATCCTAGCGGACGTTTTCGTTAGCTTTGCTAAGTGTGTGTACCTTGGCAATAATCGAGTGATTTTCAATCACTCGATTATTGCCAAGGTATACACATTTAGCAAAGCTAACGATTTAACTAATTTCAATCACTCCGAATGAATTTCAAAGTCGATTTTCCATTTGACGCTTGCAGCTCGTTTGAGCTGAATTAGACGATCCTACATAGAAACTACACTATAAAATTCGCATGTGTAATCTAAAAAGCTTGAGCCACCCTGTATAACATTCTTCGAATTTCATGTGATCGAGATCTTCTTTGATTTTTGCTTTTTGGAATAGAGCTTTTGCTCAACTCGTCCAATTCAGCTGTTTGCGTCTCTAACAACCCTAGTTCTATCGCTTGCGCAATCATCGCGCAGCGCCGACCAATCAGAGCGCAATGTAACTAGGCGGTCAGGCTGGCGGTGCAGAAAGGACCGTATTTCCGCAGGTTGCTCTAAAGCCTTGCGCTCATAGCTGTGTGCGATATGCGCAGGAGAGAGAACACCTGTTGCCATTAGACTTCGCACTTCGCAGGCAGTCAGCACGAGGTGCAGCTATGTGTTATGCTAGAGGTGCAGGTTTGTTGCAGATGTCCGCGAGACTTCTGCTTTCGGCGACTATCGCCTTTACACATGTGCGCACTGTGTTTGCAGTTAATCACTGGCTGGACAGGCACAGGACACTCACACTTAAAAAGATGTCTACATCAAAGCTTTTAAAAGCAATGGTGCGATGCCACTGAGGCAAAAACTTTAGCAGTTGGGCGCTACAGCAGTCTGCGTTTTTCCCGTTATCGTCATATATGCACGGACACTGAATTCAAATTCACCTGTTCACCATCAAAGCTACAGGTCTAATATCGCTTCTATTAGCTGTAGAGCATTTTAAATAAAGCATTTTAAAAAGCAGCTAATGCAGGAACGACAGAAATGAACGAGTGATTGCCTCACTTATCAGCGAGTCATCAGGTGCCGATGGTGTAGCTTTTTAGCTGTAAATTGATCTGTTCAATAATTACATGGACAGTGAAGCGCGTCGAAAATTCTCCGACGTCTTCAACTTCAATGGAACTCGTTTTATAAGAGCTCCAGGAAACTGGTAAGTCTCGCTAATCCAATAATCAGTGATTTTTCTTCTGTCTACGAAAGCAAAGTTAAAAACTCGATCATAACATGAACATGATGTTGCGGACTCTGGCTGTCTAAAATCTGTTTTGCCGAGCATGGAGGGTATTCGAATCAAAGCGGCCTAACCCGGCAAAGTCTACGCCATAACGACCATCTTGAAATGTTGATTACCCATATGCTTTCCTTATCTGCTTAACGATTTATTGGATAAATTTACAGGCATTTGTTTGCGCCGTAAAGGCAAATTTTGTCGCTTGTTGCAGGATTAGGGTAGCAGAGTAGCGTCAAAATTATTGCTATTGGTTTTTTATGGGCAATAAAAATATTTCAGACAATCAGGCATGTAACTCTGGAGCAAATTCGCTTACTACGAATTTAGGTCATTTAGACTGTTCCTGACTATGCAATTTGGAAGCAAAACAATGCTTGTAACTTTGTTCACTAAACCGATAAGTAACGGATCACGTGTATTGGCGGCGAGCGGTCGTGTTTCTATTGCTCTCTATCATGGTCTCACAACGCCGAACTGCTTCAAAGAAAGGAAAGAAAATTGGTATTGCTAGTCTAACATAGATTTGGCCGCCTCCTCCACTGCTATTCTAAGTAAGCTGGTGCCGCAGGGCGAAGATGAAGGTAACTTGATATCTCAATTTCATTCCATCTTATCGGGCAAAGCTCCGGAGGCCTTGCCGCTGCTGGATCGATTGATCCACTTGATCAGGGCGGCCCCCGGTGATCTCATCGAACAAGACAAAAGATCTCGCACTTTTGTGATTTCAGAAGTGCCGGAATTGAATGAAACACTTGCGTCTCAACGTCAGGCACATACTGAAAGCTCAGTGATGTCCATTTTGGATAAATTGCAAATCGAAACAAGACCCCTAGAGATCTATAGAATGGGGAGACCGGGGGGAAATAGACCGCGCATGATCAAGTGTGTGTCTTTCCTTCGCAGCAGTTTTCACTGCCCTCAGAAAAGCACCAATGCTGCGCAGCTTGCCCGGCTGTGATCACATATACATCGCAGGTCTATCATCCGCGAAAAGCGTGATTACGACCGGGCTCTGCGTCAGCAAGCGAGAGAGTTGAACAGCAAAGAGCACGTAGCT